GAAAATATGTAAAAAAACGTAGATCTACTTTTGGAGCACTACGCATGTGAACATAGATCTGCTTGGACAGTTTAAGGGTTAAAAGACTTTAATCTGTACTAAATCATGCAACTAGACAAGTATTCAACTGAACACGTACTTAGATTATTATTTTAATTATGGGGGAGTGTTAACTTGTAGGATTATACAGCGCATATGCGGGGGGGATGGAAGGTATTCAGGCTCAATTCAGGGAACCGGAGCACAGATTCAATTCCCTAGATCAAGAGCCCCTCACCAGCATCAAGGAACCTCCCTTGAGGGGTGAATACTTGGACTTTCTATTAGTCCTTACTCTTATCAATTGCACTGGCTCCCTATCAAGCCAAGAACTGAATTTAAATTTTTTATTAATTATAGCTATTAAGTTTAAATTATTATAGTCATAACTTATTATTTTTTAATACGTCGGCCATTTCCCACCAAGGCAGGGTGACCCAAAAAGAAAAAAAAAACTTTCATCATCATTCAACACTTTCACCATTACTCATACATAATTACTATCTTTGCAGAGGTGCTCAGATACGACAACTTAGACATCCCTCCAAACTGCCAATATCCCAAACTCCTCCTTTAACCCTTTGAGGGTCGACAGGCCCTCTCCGAAACTCGTTCTCAGGGTCGGCCAAATTTAAAAAAAAAAAAAATTATTTTCTCTTATGAAAAGATAGAGAATCTTTTCCCGATCATAACGACACCAAAAGTTTGAAATTTGATAGAAAACTTACGGAATTATGCTCTCGCAAAGTTAGCGGTCTCGGCGATGTTTACGGATCGGCGATTTTGCCCACTTTGAGCCCCATTTTCGGCCAATTTCACTGTACTAGTCGACAAAAAACATGAATATTTCGCTAGAACTCCACTTTTTCTATCGAATGGGTGCAAGAAACCACCCATTTATAAATTCAACTATCCAGTACAGTGGTCAGAATTTTGCAATTTTGCCAATTTCACACAAATTTCAAAAGATGCCAATTTCGGAATAGGGTCCAGAATAAACAAGAAAGACATTCCTGGCACTAAAATGACATTTCCTCTAGTCATTAGTCACGTCTCAAGGCCCCTCTTATATTCTTTTGCTTTCCACTTTGAATTTTTGTTCTCACAAAAAATATAAGATTTACTGTTATGCAGACTACTGCATTAGTGTAAAAAATGGTATAAATATTATTGGTGCACTTGTGAAAGAATATTAGACTCACCAGTTGACGTGTATTGCACGCTTGGCACGATTTGTTTACTTTTGAAGTTTGGTAAAAATCGAACATTTCTGCTACTTTGAGCTCAATTTCAAGGCACCTTTCATTGTAAAACCAGTCAAAATCATCTCAATTTCAGTAATATGTCTTCGATTCTATAAAATGAGACCAAGAAAACTAGAATACAACAATAAATACTATACGAAAATACACTGCAAAGTCGCTGATTTATTAAAAAAAAATGGAAAAAGTTTTTTTTTTTCTCATTATGCACCGTGTGCTGCAGGATTTTTTTTAGACTGTGCACACTGACCACATAGACCCATTCTTTCATATGAAGGCCTACCAGCTTTCTCCAACTAGATTTGAGGTCGCTAGAATTTATGAGTACTAGTACGTCAAAAACCCCTACGCGTAAGACGTACTAGTACGACGAAAACCCTCAAAGGGTTAAAGTGCAGGCATTGTATTTCCCATTTCCAGGACTCAAGTCTGGCTAACCGGTTTCCCTGAATCCCTTCACAAAATATTACCCTGCTCACACTCCAACAGCTCATCAGGTCCCAAAAACTATTTGTCTCCATTCACTCCTATCTAACACGGTCACATACACTTGCTGGAGGTCCAAGCCCCTCGCCCACGGGGACAACCCCTACCCTGCCTTCCTTCCCCTACAGATTTATATGCTCTCCAAGTCATTCTACTTTGTTCCATTCTCTAAATGACCAAACCACCTCAACAGCCCCTCTTCAGCCCTCTGACTAATACTCTTAGTAACTCCACACCTCCTCCTAATTTCCACACTACGAATTCTCTGCATAACATTTGCACCACACACTGCCCTTAGACAGGACATCTCTACTGCCTCCAGCTTCCTTCTCGCTGCAGCATTTACAACTCATGCTTGACACCCATATAAGAGTGTTGGTATCACTATACTCTCGTACATTCCCTTCTTTGTCTCCACAGTTACCTCAATGCACCACTCATCTTTTTTCCTTCATAAACCCATCCGCTGACAAGTCGACTCCCAAATGTCTGAAAACATTCACATCCATATTATAATTATTATATTATTATAATCATAATTTTTTGGGTCACCCTGCCTTGTGGAAAATGGCCAACATATTAAAAAAAAACTAAACACTAAACCCATTAAGTTTAAAGAACCCACATATCTTGCTTATATGATTGTACCTTTTGTATTGGGCTCAGGAACATTTCTACAAATTCCTACGGACCCTTTTATACCGACATTTGCAGAAAGAGCCTTTTCTTTTGCAGCTCCCTGAACATATAACAGATTACCAGTACAATGGAACCCCGGTTTTCAAACTTGATCCGTTCCAGGTCGTTCTAAAACTGTAACGTGTGAAAACTGAATCAATATTTCCCATAAATAATGCAAATACAATTAATCCATTCCAGACACCCAAAAATATTAACAAAAAATAAATTTTTTAAAGATTAATTATAGTGTTGGAGCTCTTCAGTGGTTAGCTCTTCCCTGTGGTCATCCACCAACTCTTCCACATTCATTACTTACCTTAAAATATTTGTAGTCTTAATGTAGGGCAAGAGGCGAGTAGTACTTTTTTGTAGAAAGTCACTGTGTCTGACTCTTTTGGGTTATCCTAGGTTCTCTACACATATGCTGCTATGTATGATAATCTATATAACTGTATTTGTGTATACCTGAATAAACTTACTAAGTAGCTGGTAGAGGTAGGTAGCCTGGGCTACATACATACACCTACCTACATAGCTACACGATATAATGCAGCTCAGAGCCATATTATTACCATCGACATACCATGTTCACCGAGTTTAATCGTTTCTAACAACTACCTTTAGATGCCATCATAAATAAAGGGAGAAGTAATGAATAATTCATGCTGAGAATTGTAAACAAAAGCCAGACACAGATTCATACAGTTTTCTCTAATGCTCGACCAGAGAGAGAAAACGTAATGTTTTCCCTCCACCGACTACCGCCCTTCGATGGCATATAAACATTGCATGTTTATACTATGCTATTAACGCATTTCTTACATAATTTTGAAGAAAATATCATAGATGGATTAATGAAAATGTCTATATTAACGTAAAACAATACAGTGGTCCCTCGTTTTTCATAATTAATCCGTTCCTGGAGGAGCTACTATAAACGAAATTTACGATTTGCGAATCAATTTTCCCCATAAGAAATAATGTAAATACAATTAATCCGTTCCTGACACTTAGAAGTATTAAAACAAAAAAATTTTTTACATGAAATATACATGTAGTACATAAACAATACAATGGGAAATGATGAATGAAACATTAACAGCATAACACTTACCTTTATTGGAGATTCTTCTTAGTGTATGGGAGACTGGAGGAGGAGAGAGATTGGATTGTTTACAGTTTGGAAGGGGAATCCCCTTCCAGCAACACCTCAGGTACCAATTGCTTCTCTGGGGTTGCTTCTCTTCTCTGTTCCTTAATGCCACCAGGACCACCTTGAGAGTCACTCTAGTCCTGTCTCGCAAAGTAACTGAGGAGAGAGCTCTGTTTCTGGCGTCTCTTTAACACTTCCCTAAAATGGCCCAAGACTTTGTCACTGTACATATTTCTCACTTTCTTTACCACAGGCTTGGCACTAGGAGCTTTCTTTGGAGCCATGGTAGCTTATTTAGTACTTGCAAGCACTAAAATGAGTGGAATATTATGAAATATTTCGTAGGAGCACTTGAGGGGACCTTCACTCACTGGTAAACAATGCCAGACTGGCTGGGTAGGGAGGCCTCCCCGGCTCACACCGTGCGTACGCGTCCCGGACGAACTACTATTCGCGAGTCAACCTATGAAAAGTGAGTCCATGTTTATACGAAAATACCCCTATGATTGGCGAAATTTACGATTGCCGAGAACTACGAAAAGCAAGGGACCACTGTACATTTAATGTGCCCAAGAGTGAGTCATGAACATACGAGCGGCTCAGGCGGATTTGTCTGATACATATGATTACCAAATCAAGATCCGATACCCAGAGCAAAATTTTGCACAAAAGATGGTTCTAAAACCGAATCATCCAATAACTGGGGCGTGCGAAAACCAGGGTTCCACTGTATGTTTAGATACACTCATCTTTTTTCGTAGATTATTATTATAATCCTAAGCGCTAAACTCTCAAGGATCATACAGTGCATATTTGTTTTTCTAGAATTTATGATCCAGACAATCATACTGTCACTCCTGAATATAAACCTCAGCATTTTTTTTTTTATCCCAGGTGTTATATTTATGGTTTGATGTGAGAGTGCTCGTGAATTTCTCAAAAAACAGCTTGCAAATTAGTACACATTTTAACTCTTTAACTGTCCAAACGTAGATCTACGTTTGCTTGCGTAGCACTTCGAACGTAGATCTACATTTTTTTTTTTTTACATTCTTTCTTATGGAGACAATCAAGGGCAGAGCGCTACACGCGCAAAAGTAGATCTACATTTGGACATTTCGAGGGTTAAAGTGCTTCTGGGATTTGGTAGACTAATGAGTGTAAGCAGGGTAACACCTATAAAAAGATTCCTACCTCCAGATTTCATATCTGGAGGTGGGAAGGGCAGTGCTTGCACTCTGCAGGAGAGGTGGGGATGTTCCAGCTCGAATGGTTATTTGAATTATGTTGTTTGTGCACTTCAGGAAAGACAGTTACTGAATGAGTGATGAGATGACCATACCTTGGCAAAAAACAGCTGATGTGGTTAAAAAAATATGTCACCTTGATTACAGTAAATAGATAAATTTTTATTTATTACTTTGAAAATTTTCTGCTAAAAAATTGAATTTGTGGTAATACATTTTAAATTCTAATGTGATAAATTAAAATAAGTGACTTATATACTGTACATTATGGTAATTACAGTAGCTGACTTTTTATTTAATACATTGAAAAATCTCAGCTAAAAAATACATTGGAAATTCTTATGTGATAAACTAATAAAAAGTGTATAAATTCTGTGATAAACTAAAAAAAAAAGTATAAAACAATGTGTATAAACATAGTTTATTGCACATACCGTCAACATTCTGTGTAATTACTTAATACGGTAGTTTTTGTTGTTTGCTTTATTCCAAAAGTAATCCCTCTGTTAGTCTGGAATACCTTTATGTGCCACATATTGCATTACAATGATCCTTTCTCAATTTACCACTGAATGTTTGTAGTTAAAACATATTAAATACCTCTAAGGCTTTGTTTTCACTGCGAGTATAATTTGCTAAGCTAAGCCTTATGCTATCCATAAACTGATTTATATTAATGTATCTACACAACTGATCCACTTATTTAATAATAATATGGGCTTACAGACTACTACAGAAGTGAAAATGAGTCTGCATGCAACATCCTGCTTGCAGGCTGAAAAAAAAAAATATAAAAAAAAAAAAGGCAAAATAATACATATATCTGTACATTATTTTTATGGTAATCTCTTTGTATTTAGGGATCATGAGTCAATGTTCACACAGATTCCCTTCTTATCTAAGAAGTGAAAATTACTTTTCATGTAGATTCCCTTCACTAAAGCTAGCCCTTCTTTCCTAGGAAGCACAAACAAAACTTCAGTTGATTCCTGTCACTAAAGCTATTCCTGCCTAACCAGAAACTTAAATAGAAAAGTACCCTCTTATGAAAGTTTACTATGATATACAGAATATAATACAGATGTGGCCAAGCCACATGCAGGTCTTTCATTCATTCAATGCAACTCACAAGACAATATCCAGACTTCTAGTTCTCACACTGCTGTTCTAAGATATTTGTTGTCATCTGGGAACTTTTTTTTTTTTTTTTTTTTAGACCTTCCCAACATAGATAAAATCTAGATATGTTGATTAATAAGAAGCTACAAACAAGACATTTGGAAATACATTTTCTGTACACTTGAAGAATTACATAGTTGTCTCCCACTTGTGTTTTTTGATCACAACAAAGATGCATCCAATTTAAGCATACGTAGGGACTATGGCACTGTGAATAAATTATCTATATCTTCTAGGTTTCAATTATCTGACAACTGATGTGTGCAGCTCTTGTCAAGATAAACTGGCCACCTTTGGTATAGTATCTTTTAAAAGATGCCTGGTACTGTAATTTTAACTTTGTAGTCAAAAGTTTTAAAGATCTTATTTATGACAACAGCTATGAATATGCAATAGCAAATCAATTACACTTTTATGGTTTAAGCAGTAAAGGTTTGTTTTCCAATTTACTCAAAATAACTAACATTCATTCCATCACTGTGGTTTTATATATACGTACATACTTAACACCAAAGCTAATAATACTGTCTTCAATTTTTTTTCCACTTCATCTGTGGTCCTTCTTGACTTTCCTCCTCTTCGGACAATTTCCTCTTTTTATGTTTCTTTCCATTAGACTTACCAACAGGAGCTGTTGCCCCACAAATGGTCTGTGAAGAGGATGCCGAACTATCTATGGTTTCTTCATGTGCAGTAGCTTCTTGCAGTAATGTAAGCTGAGAAAAGTTTCCTTGATTACATTGGCTGGCTGTTAAACTACTGGATGAGCTTGCTCCACACGATGAATATACAGGGGTGGTGGGTGATACCTCGTGAGCAGGAGACATGCCAAGTGCCATCTCTCCAGCCGTGTATCCCGCTAATGATGACGATGTTAGATAAGTTGGTGACGGTAGCTGAGCAGGAGGTAAATTAACCGGAAGTAAATTTGGCTGTACCTAATTACACAAAAAAGACAAAAAATGTTATAAGACAGGTTCTAATAATCAATACTGTATTTAATGAACACTACTTCCTAGTCTACCTTTTACTATCCTACCTCTATATAAATTATTACCCCTCTGCTCTTAACCCTTAAACTGTCCAAACGTAGATATACGTTGATGTGCGACAGGCTCTGAACGTAGATCTACGTTTTTTTTTTTTTTTACATGCTTACAAATGGGGAAAATCAAGGTCGGAGAGCTACACACGTGAACGTAAATCTACGTTTGAACAGTTTAAGGGTTAATGTATACTAGTGCACCTATGAGACAACACTGACCTTAGTTTTTAAAGTTGCTATTGTTTATAAAATATATTATTCAGTTTTTGCTGGTGCTGTAAATAATGTTCGGACAATGAGCTTCGTAACTGAAACACATTAAGCGTACCACTGCAACACAGTATATATGCCAAATTCAGTGGTACCTTGAGTTTCGAACAGCTCCCAACTCGAACAATTATGTAAGTATATTTTTGTAAATGCTTTTATAAGTGTATTTTTGGGGGTCTGAAACAGACTAATCTAATTTACATTATTTCTTATTCCTTACAGGAACAAATTCATTCGGTATCAGCACTCAAACAGCCTTCTGGAACGAATTAAGTTCATAACTTGAGGTACCACTATATATACAATGGACCCTCGACCAGCGATATTAATCCGTTCCTGAGAGCTCATCGTTAGTCAGAATTATCGTTAGTCAAGTTAATTTTCCCATAAGAAATAATGGAAATCAAATTAATCCGTGCAAGACACCCAAAAGTATTGAAAAAAAAAAATTTTTACCACATGAAATATTAATTTTAATACACACAAACTGAAGATTACATGCACAGTTACATGACACTTACCTTTATTGAAGATCTGGTGATGATTGATGGGATGGGAGGAGGGGAGAGGTGTTAGTGTTTAGAAGGGGAATCCCCTTCCATTAGCACTTGAGGCAGCAAGTCTTTTTCTGGGGTTACTTCCCTTGTTCTTTTAATGCCACTAGGACCAGCTTCAGAGTCACTGGACTTCTGTCGCACAACATATCTGTCCATAGAGGCCTGTACCTCTCGTTCCTTTATGACTTTCCTAAAGTGGTTCACAACAGTGTCAGTGTAATAGTCACCAGCACAGCTTGCAGTAGCTGTGTCAGGGTGATTTTCATCAAAAAAGGTTTGCACTTCAAGCCACTTTGCACACATTTCCTTTATCTTAGAAGTAAGCAACTTCTTCAATTTCTCTCTCCCCTCCTCTGAAGCAGTTTCCTCAGGTGTGCCCTCTTGCTGTTGAAGATGATCTAGCAGCTCATCAGTGGTTAGTTCTTCACTGTCCTCCACCACCAACTCTTCCACATCCTCCCCACTAACCTCCAACCCCAAGGACTTCCCCAATGCCACAATGGATTCCTCAACTGGCATAGGATTCTCAGGGTTAGCCTCAAACCCTTCAAAATCCCTTTTGTTTACACATTCTGGCCACAGTTTTTTCCAAGCAGAGTTCAATGTCCTCTTAGTCACTTCCTCCCAAGCCTTACCTATAATGTTTACACAATTGAGGATGGTAAAATGATCTTTCCAAAACTCTCTTAGAGTCAGTTGAGTTTCTGAGGTCACTACAAAGCACCTTTCAAACACAGCTTTTGTGTACAGTTTCTTGAAGTTGGAAATAACCTGCTGGTCCATGGGCTGCAGGAGAGGAGTGGTATTAGGAGGCAAAAACTTCACCTTAATGAAGCTCGTGTCCCTAGAAAGTCGCTCTGCCAAGTCTGAAGGATGACCAGAAGCATTGTCTAATACCAGAAGGCACTTAAGGTCTAATTTCTTTTCAATTACGTAATTTTTCACATTGGGGGCAAATGCATGATGTAACCAGTCATAGAAAAAGTCCCTAGTGACCCATGCCTTACTGTTTGCCCTCCACAGCACACACAAATTAGCCTTGAGGACATTGTTTTTCCTGAACACTCTGGGAGTTTCAGAGTGATACACCAATAAAGGCTTCACTTTGCAATCACCACTAGCATTGGCACACATCAATAGAGTAAGCCTGTCTTTCATAGGCTTATGTCCTGGGAGTGCCTTTACCTCCTGAGTAATGTACGTCCTGCTTGGCATTTTCTTCCAAAACAGGCCTGTTTCGTCACAATTAAACACTTGTTCAGGTTTCAGTCCTTCACTGTCTATGTACTCCTTGATGTCCTGCACATATTTTTCAGCCAATTTGTGGTCCGAACTGGCAGCCTCACCATGCCTTATCACACTATGAATGCCACTACGCTTCTTAAATCTCTCAAACCAACCTTTGCTGGCCTTAAATTCACTCACATCACTAATTGCTGGCATTTTTCTAATTAAATAATCATGCAACTTCCTAGCCTTTTCACATATGATCGCTTGAGAGATGCTGTCTCCTGCTATCTGTTTCTCGTTTATCCACACCAATAAAAGTCTCTCAACATCTTCTATCACTTGCGATCTCAGTTTCGAAAACATAGTTGCACCTTTGGCAAGAACAGCTTTCTTGATTGCCGTTTTCTTGCCCACAATAGTAGCGATGGTTGATTGGGGTTTATTATACAACCTGACCAGCTCAGAGATATGCACTCCACTTTCATATCTATCAATGATCTCTTTCTTCATCTCCATAGTAATTCTCACCCTTTTTGCTGTAGGGTTGGCACTAGAAGCTTTCTTGGGGCCCATGGTGACTTATTTTGCAGGTGCTATCACTAAAAAGGCTGTGATAATACGAAATGTTTCAGTTGTATGTTTGGAAGCGACCGCGGTGGCTGGCTGGCTTGCAAACACTGGCACCAAAGGGACAAGTGAGGCGCGCTCAGGCCAAAGTGGACGCGTATGGTACGGAACGAATAGCGCTGGTCGGGTTTTTAAGCGCTAGTCGAGGCAAAATTTTTGCGTTAAAATGTATCGCTAGTCAGATTTATCGTTAATCGATGCCATCGTTGGTCGAGGGTCCACTGTACATCAAACTTACTTATTCACTAAACACATCCTCTTCCTAAACATGTTTAGCTTTGGTTTAACCCTTGCAGGGTCAAGACCCCTAATCCTGAACTTGCTCTCAGGGTCAAAAAATTAAAAAAAGAAATTTTTTTCTTATTAATTGATAGAGAATCTTTTCCCGGTGGTTATGACACCAAAAGTATAAAATTTGATGGAAAACTTACGGAATTATGCTCCAAACTTCAGAATATTATTTACTTAACCTGATCCTTTCCTCTCTTCCTTTCCTATTGTTTCCTTTTTCTTTCTTTGTTTACCTGTCTTCAGCCTATTCTGTTAGTCCTCCCTCCCCTATGTTTTGGTCTTACCCCTTGTGGGCCCTTAGCTCTCCTGCAATGCTCCTTTTTCTTGTCCTTAGACTGACCCTACTGCTACTACTATTTAGTCTCCCCCCCCATTCCTCTACTATTGTTACTACCTTTATTTGTGCCTCCTGTCACCCTTCACCTACCCTTTTCTTTCTTTTGCCTAAATTATTCTCCCTACTTTCTACTACCACTATTTCTTCTACTACTACTTCCACTACCTACCTTCCACTACTTCCTCTTCTCCCTCTCTTGTACCCACTCACCTATATATCCTGGCTACCTCACTCTTTTCTGTTAGTATGATTTTGTAACTGGTCCAAATCAGACTGAAACGTCATCATCGAGACCTCTTCTATATTACACTTGCTTTCCATTTTGAATTTATATTCACACAAACAATAGAAGATTTACTAGTATGCAGACTACTGCATTATTTTAACCCGTAAATGGTCCAAACGTATATATACGTTTTTTCAACATCTGAAAGTATGTAAAAAAATGTAGATTTTTTTTTGTTGTTTTACATGTGAAAACGTGTAAAAAAACTTTTATCTACATTTTTTTTGTTATATTTGAAAATATGTAAAAAAAAGTAGATCTACTTTTGTAGCACTACGAATTTGAACGTCGATCTGTTTGGACCGTTTAAGGGTTAATAACTGTATAAATAGTGTCAGTGCATTTGTGAACATGATACAGACCAACCAGTTGGACGTGTACTGGACGAGTGATGTAATTTGTGTCTTCTAGAATATCAGCAAAAATCTAACATTTCTGCTTCTTTGAGCTCAATTTCCTACTACTTTCAGTCCTGAAACCAATTAAAATCATCTCTATTTCCATAATATATCATCCATTCTATAAGTGATACCAAGAAACCGAGATTACAACCAAGAAAATCATTCGAAAATACTACACTGCAGTCGCTATTTTTTTTTTTTTTTTTAACATATCGGCTATTTCCCACCAAGATAGGGTGGCCCAAAAAAAGAAAAACTTTCACCATCATTCACTCCATCACTGTCTTGCCAGAGGTGCAATTACACTACAGTTATAAAACTGCAACATTAACACCCCTCCTTCAGAGTGCAAGCACTGTATTTCCCATCTCCAGAACTCAAGTCAGGCCTGCCGGTTTCCATGAATCACTTCATAAATATTACCCTGCTCACACTCCAACAGTACATCAAGTCCTAAAAACCATATATCTCCATTCACTGCTGTCTAACACGCTCACGCATGCTTGTAAGTCCAAGCCCCTCACACACACAGCTTCCTTTACCCACTCCCTCCAACCTTTTCTAGGCTGACCTCCACCCTGCCTTTCCTCCACTACAAATTTCTACACTCTCTAAGTCATTCTATTTTGTTTCACCCTCTTTACATGTCCGAACCACCTCAACAACCCCTCCTCAGCCCTTTGGATAAGAGTTTTGGTAATCCCACACCTCCTCTTAATTTCCAAACAACGAATTCTCTGCATTATATTCGCACCACACGTTGCCCTCAGACACAACATCTCCAGTGCCTCCAGCCTTCTCCTTGTTGCAACATTCACCACCCATGCTTCGCACCCATATAAGAGCATTGGTATAACTATACTCTCATACATTCCCCTCTTTGCATAGTTGCAATATTAAACCAAATGCACGGTCAGTTTTTTCCCATCATGCAATGCACAGGGCAGGATTTTTTTTATATGGTGCACACTCACCACATAGACCCATTCTCTCATATCTAAGCCCAAATTTACCACTCACTGCTTATCTGAGTGAGCTGAGCTCATCACACATTTCTACGGCACAGAGCCATAGTACTACAGCACAGACCTCAAAGTGGTTAAATTGAAGGTTTTCTGTATCTAGTAATGGCCAGTAGTCCTACTTCAATGCTTTGTTATATCAATATCAACTAGTTCAGAGTGATATTTAATGAGATATGGTTAAAATTTAAGTGGTGCCAGGCTTGGGTGATCTCATATGAGTGAATGAACACTGCATATAGCTAATTGCTAGTAAAAATAGGGTCACTGCATATAAGCGAATTTTCATTAAGTTAAAGCTAAACTGCATAAAGCAAAAATACTGTGCATGCACTAAAAATGCAAACCTACCTAAGACTAAGCCCCATGAAAATTAAAATTTTCAAATATTCATGATAAGTCATTACCATATTGGCTGCCACGAAGACAGTGGAGCCAATGACAGGATTTGTGACATTATGTGAGCTATAAAACTGCTGATTCTTGTCTTCTCTTCGCCAGCTTCCACTAGTCCTGCTGCCGCTGTTAGAATTTGCATTACAACCCTCTCTCATGCGTGCCATCTCAGCCAGTAGCTCACTAAAACGTTGATCATATTCTAAGAGCTTTCGGTTCACCTAAAAAACATAAAAGAACATCTCCACATTACAACAAAAAAATATATACATTTTCAAAACTTCCACAAGAAGCCTACAGAATCTCTTAATACAGGGAACTGGAGCTACCCTCCACTTCCTTGAATCAAACTTGATTGCCTTCCATTCCCAAAGCAGTGTGCAACCCCAATAGATTTAGCACTTCCCCATGTATATAATAATAATAATACATCATATATTGAGATTCTTAATTCATACATGTACCCTATCTTATAAGTTTCATTTGAATCAATTTTCCTAAACAATTCAATCTGAAACAAATATGTCTAATTATCACTTCTAATAACATGTAAAAAAAATACTATATTTATTATATGCTGTAAAATGAGATTTTCCATTGCTAAGTAGGATAAAGGAGGCAAAATAGTCTCCCAGTTTGAAGTCAAACTGCCAAAACCTGATCAAGTTTGCATTTATCAGTGTTTGTTCACAATGGGAGAATAAAACCAATGGAATACTGTACCCCAATGATCAGTTGGGCCCATAATTGTTCCTAGTGTATATTAACCCTTAAACGGTCCAAACGTATACGTTCATGCGCGTAGCGCCCCAAACGTATATATACGTTTTATTTTTCATTCGTTCAAAATTGGCTCGATAGGCCTGAGTCGCCTAGACATGAGAGAATGGGTGTGCACACTCAGTGTGCGCAGTATACAAAAAATTTGGGACGCCTGGGTACCACATGGTAGGACCAGTTACATTCAGCTCCATCCTGGGTCAACATCATGGCACATCCTCGTGATTCACTCACGCCTCGTCGTATTAACACTACTATTCGAGGAAAGTGATATAGATCGTGAGTTTAGTGGATTTGACACCAATGGGGCCAGTAATATTCAAGGAATTAGTGAAAATACCGACGATAACCCAGATGACCCTCAGCCCATCACCTCTGGGGTAGCGACACCTGTCCTAGGGCCAAGCACCTCTAGGGTAGCCAATGTGGCCACAGCAGACCCTAGGCCAAGCACTTCTGGGGTAGCCAGTATGGCCACACAAGACCTTGGGCCAAGCACCTATGGAGTGGCAAGTGTTACCCATAGGCAACTTCACATGAGGAAACTATCATTTTCCCTGTGTTTTAGTGATAGTGAAAGTGATGTAAGTGATGATGAGATTGATTTTATGCCAATCGAGGATTCGTCTAGTGATAGTGAAGTTCTTTATTCACCAGTGAAGCGTACTTTTAGACGTCGTTATCTACGTTCAGGCAGTGTGCCATATGCAATCCCCAAGGGTCGTGGCAGGTCACGATCTAAAACCCCGGCCACTGATAGTGAAAGTGATCATGAAGGGGAGTATGCGGGGATGGAGGAAGTAGTGATGGGTGGCATGGTGCCTGGACCACATGGCGCAGTGGGTGGACAGACAAAGGACTGCCCGGCATCCCCACAACCATGTGCTGCCTCCACTCCTGTCCCTCCTCCTGCCCTCCCCTCGCCCCATGCCACAGGTCCACCCTGCACCATGTGATCATGAGTGGAACTGGACACAAAGTATATTCGTGCCTCAGCCTTGTGATTTTGATACTAGTGGAAGTGGTATCCTGCCAGAATGTCCCATAACGAATGAGTCTACAGAGTTAGACTATTTCCAGTTGTACTTTGACGAGCCTATAATGAACTTGATAGTGACCCAAACAAACAATTATTACCAATATGTCATGAACAACACAGCAGAGGTTGGAGAATCGTCACGGCTGCACAGGTGGAAAGACACAACAGTGGCTGAAATGTATTTATTCCTTGGCACTGTCATGCTTATGCCACATATCTATAAGAACAATACATATACGTAATTACTGGTCTACAGACCACTTCATCATTACTCCAGTTTTCCGTGACCTCCTTCCCTGCAACAGATTCACTCTGTTGCTACGAATGTTGCACTTCTCAGACAGAAACACGCCAAACAGAAATGACCTTCTATACAAAATCAGAGAAGTGTTTATGTATTTGAAGCAGAAATTCAGTGTATACTTTTATCCCTTCAAGAACATTGTTGTTGATGAGTCCTTGATTCTGTTCAAGGGACGCCTCTCATTCAAGCAATATATACCGAGCAAACATAATCGCTTTGGTATAAAACTTTTTGTTATGTGTGATTGTGAGAGTGGTCTTGTGTTGGATGTAACTGTATACACCAGGAAAAACACACTCGATGATGACAGACGGATGTTGAGCATTTCCGGTGATGTTGTTCACAGGATGATGGAACCATACCTTGGCAAGGGCCATACATTGTACACAGACAACTGGTATACAAGCCCTATGCTCGGTGATTTCCTACGTGTGAACAATACTGATATATGTGGAACAGTGAGAAGGAATAGGAAACATGCCAAGGTTCACTGGAGGCATTGTTAAAGGTGAAGTGCAAGTGTTTCATGCTAATGACATCATGGCACTGACGTGGCATGACAAACGGGACGTGGCATTGCTGTCAACCATCCACAGAAACGAGATGGTACAGACAGATTGAGCAAGTTCAACAAAGAACCTATTGTAAAGCCAGCTGCTGTCATGGACTATACGAACAATATGCGACTAGTTGACAAGTGTGACATGATAGGGTTTGTTGACTGTGTGCGTAGGAGTCGGAAGTGGTATATAAAACTGTTTTTTCACCTTGTAGACATTGCAGTGCTCAATGCATTCAATATGTATGAAATAAAGACTGGAAAACGACAACGTTTTGCAGATTTCTCTCTGAATCTTGTCAAACAGATAGCAAGAAAGTATGGTACCACACCTGTACTTGCCCCTCAACAGCGACCTGTCACACCACAACCTGTCCCCCAACCACAGTCAGAAGGGTAAGTGCCAGACCGAATCACTCCTGTCACTATCTGGTACCAATACCACCTACCCAAAAGAAGAAGAATGCCCAGAAAAAATGTATTGTATGTGCTACCACCAAAAAAATGACCTCAACAGCGGAAGGGGTGGGGTGGCACTCTGTATGAATCCATGCTTCATGGAGTATCATACAATTGAGGAGTACTAGAAACATAAGTGGGACATGTAAATACTTGTATATAGTTGTAGATAATAGAATGTGATTCAGCCAGGTGTGCAAAATCACCTGTCAGTGAGTACATGTATGTTTATGACAATATGATAATAATTTCATATATAATATTGGTGTATAAACAAAAATTGGCATTGATATAAAAAGTTACTATAAAACATAATTATCATATCATGAAAACCAACAAAAAATTAAAAACAAATATGGAAGAAAACGGTAAATATGTAGAATTTCTCCAGGCGGCAGCGCTCCATGTTGCTGTCAGGTGATCGCCAAGTGCCAACTTCGCGGCCTCATATCTCGGTAAGTACTGACATTAAATTTTTTTTTTATGCTAAAACACTTATAAAAATGTTCTCTTTTTTTCTATAAAAAAAAATAATTTTTTTTTCAAAATATTCAGGGTGGTGCGCGAGTGAGCGTATATATACGTTTGGACCGTTTAAGGGTTAACAATATAAGCTCTTAACTATGATATCACTTTTTGCAGATATAAAAATAATAAGGGAATAAAAACTGAAGAAGACAGAATAAGACTTTAAGAAGACTGTAAAGAGTTCAAGAATAGTTAAATAACTTATTACTAGGGTTTAATAAAGCCAGCAAATTAAATACAGAGTGGCATCTGGGGGAAGAATAAGCTCAAAGAAATAGGCAAAGAAAAGGCGCATTGAATAACCATTACCCCTAACTTGTCCCCTGAAGCAAACAAACTGCATAACTTCATCTTGTAAACATAAGTGTGACATTTAGGAACCTCAATGAATAATCATTAAAAAATAGTTGATTGGTAGACAGCAACCACCCAGGGAGGTACTACCATCCTGCCAAGTGAGTGTGAAATGGAAACTTTTATTTGTTTTACATGATGGTAGGATTGCTGGTGTCTTTTTTCTGGTTCATAAACATGCAAGATAACAGTTACAGCCTCTCCTCACTTAGTGACGTACTCGTTTACCGACCACTTGGACTTATGACCAGCTCTCCAACCAGCAAGCAAACCTAAATAATGTACAGTGGAACCTCAGTTTTCGTCTTTAATTAGTTCCATTAAGTCTGATGAAAACCGAATTCGACGAAAATTCAAGCAATATTTCCCATGAGAAATAATGTAAATCCAATTAATCCGTTCCAGACACCCAAAAATATTAACAAAAAATGCATTTTATAGAGAATAACTATAGTTTTACATACAGAAAACAATGAGAAATAAATATAAAGCACTAATGAAATGGATAAATGAACATTTAAATCACTTACCTTTACTGAAGACTCTTTTTGGCGTATGGAAAATGGCGAGGTGAGGAGAGGGAAGAAAGGTTATCTCTACCACCATCACTACCACCTTCTACCACCATCACTCCCACCTTCTACCACCATCACTACCACCTTCTACCACTATCACTACCACCTTCTACCACCATCACTACCACCCTCTACCAACTCACTACCACCCTCTACCACCATCACAACCACTACCACCCTCTACTACCATCACTACCACCATCATTACCACCCTCTACCACCATCACTACCACCCTCTACCACCACCATAACCACTACCACCCTCTACTACCATCACTACCACCCTCTACCACCATTACTACCACCCTCTACCACCATCACTACCATCCTCTACCACCATCACTACCACCTCTACCACCATCACTACCACCCTCTACTACCATCACTACACCCTCTACCACAATCACTACCACCCATTACCACAATCACTACCACCCCCTACCACCATCACTACCACCCTCAACCACCACCCTCTACCACCATCACTACCACCATCACAACCATTACCACCCTCTACCACCATCGTTACCACCCTCTACCACCACTGAATTCTATCATGTTTCTCGCATTCTCTATCAAAGGGCTGGCACTTGGAACTTTCTTTGGCTCCATGGTGGCTTATT